ATATATTTTAAATAGCAGGCTTAAAAGTGGTATTTAGAGATTAACCAGTGCTCATTTTGTCCTTTAAACTAAAAATCTTAACTTCATGACAATATAAGATATTTTTTTCCTGAAAATTTGAACTGAAAAACTGAAATTAAAGACGCACTGACTAATTCTTAAATAGCAGTCCTTTAAAATGGCTATCCGGTGTCATTAATACTTACCCAGAGTTTAAAACAAAAATTTCTTTCTCGTGACCAAGAAAAATTAATAACCTACCTAAAAATTTCTTTTTCTTTTCAAAAGGATAAATAAATTCAATAAGATACAATGCACTTGAGAATTGGGGTAGGTTGAGTGCATGACTGGAATGCATCCTTTCAAAATTGGCTAAAGAAGCTTCTTCTCTATTAGGATATGTTGGCATCTTAATGGATGCCTCACATGAGCTCTCCTTGTGGTTTGACCACATTAGGTATTTTTTCCCCTACCTTTTCATTAATTTATTATTACTATAAGGAGTATAATTCTCACTTTATTTTAATATATAATTTGTACAAGTGTGCAATGTACCTAGCCATATCCGATAAAGTTGGATGAGAATTTGGATGATAGGAATAAATGGCTTTTAGTGAAACTTGATCCCTAACCCCTTTTCTCTTTATGTAAATACAAGAATTTATTTTAATAAAAATAAATATTGATCTTTAAGAAAGCATTGATTGATGATTTGGTGGAGAAGATATAGAGGACTATCGTATTAATGTTCGAAAATTCATCTTTTAAACGTCTCGGAAACTTCAAAATATGTTCGTATAGCAAATACGTTTATCTAATTTCTTGGGCATAAGAATGATGTTCGAAATCTTATCGAAATTATAATCTACTTCTGAAACAGTCTTATCTACTGAGGCTCTATGCATTGCACAATCTGAAAATCAATTTCTAAGCGAGTGATCTTCGCTTATCCATATAGGAGGAAATCAAAATTTCAATTTTTCAAGAATTGAGAAATAAAAATTATAACTTTCCTTCTTTTGACTACAAGTTACTAGGGAAGTATATATGTAATAACCATTACCTTCTTATCATGTACTATTTTTTTTTATGCATCCAAAGAAAAGAAGAGATCAGTAGATCAGAGTTCCATTATGTAGATATTATTAGAAAATCTTGCAATGCTCTAAAAATTATGTATCTGTTTAGGGTAAAATTGGTTTATATTAAATGCTCGAATGATGGCGTGATATGTGAAACCGGATGCCGACGGAAGATAAATCGAGTGGAAACCAAGATCGAGGACAACAACCTCGGTTAGTTCCGGGTAGATCCCGATGGGAACACGGCCAACGGGAGCAAACCGATGTTTGTCGCTAGATGGAATTTAATATGCATCCGCTGCAGAGAAATTTGGCATTCATGACCCGCCGTTACATATTCATCAATCACCCCCTTTATTGTCATTTAAGAGGGGCTTGATCCTAGGATCTTGTTCCCTAGGTATAGCTAAAAATAGTGACTTCAACAATCATTGTAGGACACGAAATCTCTGGCAAAACTTATGCTACACATTATTCCCAAGTTAACTTATGCTAATATAACTTTATTTTCTGTCTAATATTGTTCTTATTACTATCTTCGGAAGCCTTGCTCTCGGAACCAGGCTGCTTGATATTTCTCTCGATTTCAACGCTAAGTCTTATTTTTTATTTAATTTATTTATCATTTTGGGATCAAATCAGTTCGATTGTCTATAAACCACGTAACAAATTCAACTGTACTGTTTTACGGGTAAACAGTTTGGCGCCCATCGTGGGGCTTAAACATGTGCGTAATTGAGTTAATCCTTGTATCTATTACTAACTTGTTTGATTCATTGTTTCATAGAAAAAATCAAAAAGGATGGTAGCTAACGATGTCAACGTCACACACAACGTTGAGGCACAAGAAAATCTGCCTCAATATGAGGATTCGATCCGGTCCATGGCGGGCGATATCCCCGACATGTGCGGGAGACACAACTCATGATGACACTGAGGACGAGCACGTTGCGAAAATGGTAAGGATCTTGAGGGAGCAGCAAAAGGCCATCATGGGCCATCTCTCAAGGCAAGGCCAGGCCATGACGGAACTAAAGTAGGCATTGTCAGGCAAGCCCTGTTCCTCCAGGCACTCCTGCAGATCAAACAACTCAAAAAGTTGATAACAACACCCCCGAGGGGTGAAATCTTCTTCGACGGAGCCGGGGGGATTGACAACGGATCAGGTAATGACAACGGCAATGATCCCTTCAAAACTGAACTCATGAGATTCATGAGGGAAATGAATGAGCGGATGGATCAGAATGCGAAAGAGTTTCATGCTCGAATGAACCAAATTTCGGGCGCACCACCAGTGTTGAAGGGCCTGGACTCGAAGAAGTACATCCAATTGCCGTTCAAACCGAGCGCAACACCAGAATTGATTCTGAAACGGTTCAAAATGCCGGACATACCAAAGTATGATGGGACTTCAGACCCTCAGGAGCACATCACAACTTATACAACGACGGTGAAAGGAAACGACTTGGCCCAACATGAGATTGAGTCGGTCCTGCTGAAGAAATTCAGAGAAACCCTCACGAAGGGGGTCTTGACATGGTATTCACTCCTACATGAACATTCAATAGATTCCTTTGAGATGCTCATAGATTCTCTCATCAAGGCTTATGCCGGGGCCAAGAAGTTCTAGTCCCGGAAGGCGGACATATTCATAATTCCGCAAGGAGAGTCCGAATTGATGCGTGAGTTCGTAATCAAGTTCCAGACGGAAAGAATGTTGTTACAGGCCGTGCTAGATGAATGGCAGCTGAGGCATTTACTAAGAGGTTGAACCCGAGGAGCTCCGACACCACCCGAAAGCTGAAAGAAAGCCTGCTCGAGTTCCAAGCAACCACATGGGCGAACGTCCATAACCGTTATGAATCGAAGATAAGGATATAAGATGATCAGCTCGGGTTCCCGGCGTCAATCAAGGGTCGGGATCGAGAAAAGAACAGGGATAAATTGAAAAATGATTTTGATGCAGATTAGTGATCATCTAAGGGCCGATTCTTGCCCTACGAGAGGGCCGAAGGACACGACAGTTAAGGGTTCCGATCAGCGGATAGGTTCGCCCCAAATAGAAGAAGTGACTGCAGCCAAAACAATATGTCATTGCAGGACAACGAGGTATCGGGTTCCCGGGATTCTATTTACCCAGGCCGATAGAGTATAATTTCAATGTTAGTGTAGTAGAGCTGGTATCGGCAGTGAGAAACATCAAGGAAACACGATTCCCGAGGTCAATACGATCCGACCCAACCAGAGGGATACTAATTTATGGTACGAATATCATGGAACACATGGCCACCGAACTGGGGACTGCCGGCATCTTCGCGAGGAAGTGGCAACGCTGTTAAAGAACGGCCATCTCAGGGAATTCTTAAGTGACCGGGCCAAGAACAATTACAACCACAACCGAGACAATACAGAACCCTCAAAGATAGGGGAAGACCCTCCTCGACTAACTATCGACATGGTTTTCGAGGGAAGGAGATCAACGGTGTCACTTTCTCGGCAGCCAAGAAGACAAAGGTATCAGTGACTCATAGTAAGAGACTTCAGGAAGTCGCCAAAGATGACAGCACCTTCACAAAAGAAGACGCCGATGGACTTCTTTTGCTGCACAACGATGCCCTGGTAATTTCTCCTAATGTTCTAGATTTTAAAATTAAACGTGATTTGGTTGACCTAGGAAGTTCATCCAATATCATTCAATGGAGGGTGTTGGATCAAGCCAAACTTACCGGAAGCATCATTCCGACAACAAAGCTTCTCGCCAGGTTCAACTTAGCGAGTGTGACAACCCGGGGGGAAATCTTGTTGCCCACAAATGCCGAAGGTGTCACGAAGACCACCTTATTTGAAGTGGTGGACGGCGACATGGGCTACAACATAATTATAGGCAAACCATGGTTACATGAGATGAAGGCCGTACCATAAACATATCACCAACTACTGAAATTCCCGACTTCGGAGGGAATCAAGCAAATAAGAGGAGATCAACTGGTAGTAAGGGAAATGAAAGAGGTATCAATTTCTAGCAGTAAAGGGAAGGAATTCAACACATAGCAATTACAGGAACTGACGCATACTCCCGAGCCAAGCAGAGATGAGAAAGGGGAGGAGTCATCGGAATCCCATCAGGTACCAAGATATTTTTAGGTACCAAAAGAAACAGAAGCGACCAAGTCCACGACAGAAGCTTTGTTCGAAGAATTCCTGGGGAGAAAATTTCACTTGGGGACAGGACTCAACCCCAAGCTTAGGTCAGGATTTATCGATTTTCTTAAAACTAACGTTGATTGTTTTGCATGGTCGCATGCGGATATGACATGTATCCCGCTAAAGATGTCCATGCACAAGCTAATCATGGACCCAAGCGTCCCACCGGTAAGGCAGAAGAAGCGCCCAATAGCCGAGGTTAGAAACAAGTTAGTTGTAGAAGAGGTAACTCGGTTACCTGAAATCGATTCAATCCGGGATGTAAAGTATACCGACTGGCTAGCTAATGTAGTGGTAGTTCCAAAAGAGAATAATAAATTTGGAATGTGCATAGATTATAAGGACTTGAATAAGGCATGCCCGAAAGACTTATTCCCATTGGCGAATATCGATCAAGTGATTGGCGCCATGGCGGGGCACGAGTTAATAAGTTTCGCCAATGCCTATTTCGGGTACAATCAAATCAAGATGAACCCAGAGGATTAGGAAAAAGCTTCGTTCATAATGAAATTTGGTACATATTGTTATAATGTGATGCCCTTCGGGCTTAAAAATGCCAGAGCCACTTATTAGAGGCTCATGAACAAGATGTTTAAAAAACAAATAGGTACAACTGTGGAAGTATACATAGATGATATGATGGTCAAGTCTTTGAATGCATGTAACTATTTAAAACACCTCCAGGAAACCTTCGATATCCTAAGAAAACATAACATGGAGCTCAACCCCAAAAAATGTGCGTTCGGAGTTAGCTCCGATAAATTCTTGGGTTTCCTGGTGTCACAAAGAGGGATCGAGGTAAATCCCGATAATATCAAAGCCATCGAGGACATCCCAGACCAGTTGACAAGCATGAAAGAAGTCAAAAGGCTAACCGGGAGATTGGCCGCTCTAAGCAGGTTCATTTCTTGGTCTTTGAAAAAATGTCATCACTTTTTCTCACTTCTGAAGAAAAAGAACAACTTCGAATGGATTCCAGAATGCCAACAAGCCCTAAAAGACCTGAAACGTTATCTATCAAGCCCTCATCTACTATCAAAGCCGGAGGAAGGCGAACAATTGCTGATATACTTAGCGGTCTCGGAGGTAGCGGTAAGTGCCGTTCTAGTCCGGGAGGACAAAGGACTTGAATTGGCCCGGGGACTTGGCTCCGAGGCCATAGAGATAAAATGTGATTCACAACTGGTGGTAAAGCAAGTTTATGGGATCTTTGACACAAAGAAGGAATGCATGCAACATTATGTGATTAAAGTTCAAACTTTGCTCACACAGTTCAGGGAGTGGTCGATCACCCACATCCCGAGAGAATAAAACGTAGAAGAAGATGCATTAGCCAATTTGGGGTTGTCCACTGAGATGAAGGGATCAGATTCCAGTACTGTCATGCAGCTTATGCATTGGTACTGATGTGAATGGTTATTGTGAAGTAAAAACAACCAACCTAGTCTGTCTGAAGACCCGAATGTGTCCCGGGCACTCCGCACCAAAGTAGCTC